TGACATTTACAATATCAGAAATACGGGTCTACCATTTCATTTTCATGACTATTTCAGGGACTAAAAGTGCGTTTTCCCTAAGTTCGACTAAAACTTCTCAAAATAGAAGTGTGAATGAGTCACATATATTTTGAAAATAAGGATGATCTTACTTGGACGGAAATTTGCTGGTCTAGTCTGTTTAAATCTGGTCTGACCTGAACTGGTCTTGTCTGGTTTGATATGTTTATGTCTGGTCTGAAACTGAAAACAATCTGATTCGGACCAGAACCGGAGGACCTGAAACACAAACCGGTCCGATAACTGACCAACCCACAGATGTATTAATAACCGGAAAAAATCGTTGGACCGTACAAACCCGACCCAAAACGGCCAAAGCCCAGAAAAATGAAAAAAGCCAGATTCAAGCATCAAATCATCAATGGTATTGCTCCTGGGAATCTGCCCTCGGTCCCCATGGGGAAATATAAGCGCCACTCCAGCAGACTAAACGGTCCTTAACTCTTTAACTATGATTATACCTTTTCGTAATAAACTGCTTGAAAAAATGATAATAAGAATTAGGGGTGGACATAACGGTTTGGTTTAACCGAATCGAACCGTACCAAACCGAACCGAAATCGGACAAGATTTAGGGAGTGTTTGCGATTGCTTTAACTTTAAAAAAGTGATTTTTTAAAGTGATTTTGGGAAAAATGATTAATAGTAAAAGTTGGTAGTGTTTGAGAAAAAAGTGATTCTGAAAAAGTAAAAGTTGGCAGTGTTTGGTAAAATAAGTACTTTTTGTGTAATAAAAAAAGTGAGAAGCAGTTTAAAGCACCCTTCTACCTGCTTCCAGCTTTTAGCTTTTAAGTGATTAATTTAAGCAGAAGCTATCATTTGAAAACACTCTTTTCAACTTTTTTTAAGTCAAAAGCTGAAAAGCGCTTTTTTTAATCAACCTCAAACACTCCTTTAATTTGATTTGAGTTTGGTAGTATTTCTTCAGAACCGTATTAAATCGAACCGAACCGAAACCCCGAACAAAATCGAACCGAACTAAATAAATTCATAAAATCCTTCATATTAAATTAAAAAATGACAAATCCAAACCAAACGATACCGAACCAAACTGAAAAATAGTATGGTTTTTGTTTGGTAACAATTCTCCCAACCCGTTCCAAACCGAAACGTACAGAAACTGATAAAAACCGAACCGAAAACCGATATGCCCAGCCCTAATAAAAATGATAACAAATACTCCATATTATGTCTATTATGGGTACAAATAGTAATATTATACTTATATTTTTAATGTTGAAGATTTTTTGTCATTTTGGTCCTCCGACTATTATGTCATTGACACTTTTGATACTCGACTTTGATTTATTCCATTTCTAGTCCTCTACTATTGCGCTATAGACACTTTTGACACTTGTCTTTGAAAAATTCCACATTTAGTACTTTAACTTACATAAAAGTGATACTTTTGGTCTTTAAACTATTATGATAGTAGCATTTTAAGTCGTCCACTTATTGTGTCAAAATCATAATGAGAGGACTACAAGTGTCAATTTGATAATACTCATGGGACTAAATGTGAGAGAGTTTGAAGTCGAGGACTAAAAGAGTCTCTGGCACAATAGTCGATGACTTAAAATGAAAAAAATTAAAAGTAGAGTACCAAAAGTGTCACTGACATAATAGTCAAGGGACTAAAAGTGACAAAAACTCTAATGTTGGATACAATTAAAGTTTTGTTAAAATTGTATATTCCGAACAATAGTTTGGTTTACATATTTATCATGTATCATGAGAATTAAATTATAATTGAAATAATTATCCATTTACAACTTTTATTTGATGTATAAATATATGCGTAATATTACATAATTTTACGCATTCATTTTGATCAGCATATTGACCAGTTTTTTCGGCGTTGACCGGGTTAAACGTGACCCAGTCATTTGGCCGGGTCGTTTCCCGATTCGCCTTTTACAACATAAATGATAAGCCCATTTATAAACTTTATCTTTATTGCCATTCTATTTAGAAAATGATCTCTTTTACAATTGGAATTGTACGAATATTAGAATCAGACCCTCAGGCACTGAGGTATTATACTTATTCAGATATTTATCCCGTTAAAATTTTCTCTTAGAAGCGTTAAGTCGAAGGATTTATCTAGTAAAACATACCCGTATATCTAACATTCTCGATGTAAATTCCTGGATTGAAACTTTTATATTAGAGCATCACCAATGATACATGCTCACATGAATAAAAACTGCCACATAATCCAATGTTAACACCATGTCTAATATTTATTTCTCCAATGCGGACTCTCTAATGCATTGATGTATGAAAACAATGTGGACACTGTTGCAATGGATGTCTTTTTCATTTTATCATCAAAACAATCTGCCTATATTAATATCATTAGAAACTGGATCGTTACCTCAAATTCAAAAAGACCAACACCGACAACAAGTATCCTTAACCAACTAGCATTATCAACTCTACAGCTAGACTCGGAGACGATCACCCCTGAAAGAGCAATACGAATCGCTAACCACCAAGCAGGTGTGACACAACAATCACTGGCCATATAGATCCAATGACATAATTGTAGACATAAAATTAAAGACATCAACAAAAAACAGAGCAACATAAAGCATAACGTGAAAATAAAACCATAATAAATTAAATAACTGATAAATCTTCCAAACTCTTGCACCTCGACAGCGGTTCAGGAGGGGACAGACCGCCGATCCGTCTTCTCCCTTTCTCAGCCCTTCACTTCTCCCCATCTTCTCGTCGTCCGTTCTGCCTCCACTACCACCACCGCGCTCTACCCATGTTGATTCTCCAAAAACTAACCCTTCAACCTCCTCCTTCAATTGTAGGAATGAGACAACCTAACGCTTCTCTAGATCATCCATAGAAGACATTATTATCATTTCTTGAACCCTGGATTCCAAAATCTGCCGCCGCACTCACGCCTCCTTAAAAAGCACTGTAGAAGCCTAGAGAAGAAAAACCGCACAAACAATTGGCGGAGGAAAACTCTACGTGACGGCAAAACCGCTAGGGAGACAAAATCCTACACGATACAAAGTCGCTAGGGAGAAACCCTTCGATCCGGAAGAATAGAACTAACTTTATTATACAGAGTCAACTAATGTGTTGCTATTTATGGACGTTGCAATCAATGTCTTGATATAGCCAGTGGCGGAGCCAGAAGTTCGTGTCAGTGGTGTCAATTTAACAAAACAATATTATATAATAATGTGTACATATATAAAGCAAAAAATAAAATATTGCCATTACTCCCTCCGTCCCTTAATTATCTTCAAACTTTCATTTTTCGTCCGTCCCAAAATTATCTCCTTTTTCTCCTATTGGCAAAGAATTTGTGGTTTACAACCATTCTTACACATTTCTCTCTCCTCTGCACAACTCTCCACTACACAAAACCCACTATCTTAATTAGTGTGCCCAGCCGAAATGGGAGAAAAAACAGGGACGAAGGGAGTAGTAAAATAAAGTACTAATTCACAACTGTCCCCGACGCGTTTTCATATTTTGAAAACGTTGTACAATTTTTTCTTTATCAACGTTTTTGAATATATCTTTTTCAATAAAAGTAACTAAGGCATCATTCATCATAGCATCCCCCATTCGATTGTGCAACCTGTTCTTCACGAACTTCATGGCTGAGAAGGCTCTATCCATAGTTGCAGTGGCCATCGGTAAAAGCAAAGCTAATTTCACAAGTAAAAAAACTAATGGATACACAATATGTTTCTTTGTCTCCACCAATTTTTGAGCAAGAGGACGGGTGGAGCGACCTGCGAACGCCGACTGAGGGTTTCCGATTTCAGCGATTTGGGAATTGGGACTACGACTCACGGCGTTCAATCGTTTTTTTCTTTTTGCAGAGCGGGAGTTGGCGTTCAATCAACCATTTGGGCATAGACTTTTCAATTCTCCTTGACTCCTTTACTGACTTTTCAATTTGGTGTTCCAACTTTTTAAAATTTTAAATTGACCCCCATTGTTTTTAAATGTTGGATGGTGTTAATTTATAATTTATGAAAGATTATCTATACCTATATAGAAAATTTTTATTTTTCAGTGGTGTCAATTATAAATTTTAATTTGTTTTTTATATACCTACATATGGAAAAAAAATTCAGTGGTGTCAATTGACACCACTGGCCAAAGGGTGGCTCCGCCACTGGATATAGCAGTGTGTAGCAGTGTGCTTGACATGCTTACTCACCAATTTTGGAACGATTATCACTCACCTGAAAATATTGATCTTGTAGTTTTTATTTATTAAAAAAGGCATATACATAACATTTATATGGGTTGTGAACACTACCCATTGGAGAACTTTTTTGGGTTGTAGTATCTATTTACATCACTCTTAAATAACATAGAACAACACTCCATTTTTTTGATTGCCATGTGTCAAAAGTTTGTTTTATGTTAACAATGTAGCATTAAAGATGCTTACATCCATATTCAAGACATTGAACGCGGAACACATATAACTAACACGTAGTATATAGATAGTAGAGGACTGCTCAGGTCCCTCCGGAGGGACGGGAGGGACCGTCCGAACTTTACTGTTTGGGGCGGTTCCCGGTGGAATTTTTGATGAAATTTTTTGAGTATGTTCCTCATCAAGTCTAGTTTGTCCATAATTTTTGATGAAACTTACTGCACTTTATATATGCGCAGAATGTGCAGTAAGCTTCAAGAATTTATTTGACTGCCTTCCCGGTCGAATTTTGAGCTGAAATTTGGTATGGACAAACTAGACTTGATGAGGAACATGCTCAAAAAATTTCATCAAAAAATTCCACCGGGAACCGCCCCAAACAGTAAAGTTCGGACGGTCCCTCCCGTCCCTCCAGTCCCTCCGGAGGGACCTGATCTTTTCTGATAGTATATATTTATATTTAATCTTATAAGATAAATGTAAACATTAGTGATATACACCTTTGAAAAAACGTTGATTACATACACAAATAAAGTTTGAGCCTGATCACAATGATGTTGACATTATACTATCACAATGAAAAAAAAGAATAAGAATGAACACTCCCGACTAGAAAATGTTATAGATTTGAAGCAAAAGAATTACGATCCTGTTTAAAAGAATGTGTTATGTTTATATTTGACGAGATTTGGTATGATATTTGCGTCTATCTTTCGGCCTATAATTTCTCCTTCTTCTTCTTCTTCTTCTAAATCCTCCTCACGAATGCACAAGTCCATAATCATCTTTCTCCCTTCTACTATCTCATCAAACAAGTCATCCAGTTGCTCAACTATGCCTTCAACCTCACATTTCAACGTCTCAAAGCAATCTCTCAACCTCTCGACCTTGCCTTCATCAACTTTGATCACTTCAGAATCATTGACTATCTTCACTTCTCTTTTAACTTTTCCCACCGCCATTCTAAGCTGCTGGAACTCAAGAAGGGCAATTCCAGGCAGCCCCACTATCTCCTGTGCCACCCTCTCCCTCAATCTTGCTGCAGGAACCATGAAAGACGGGCCGATAAGTCCCGTCGGGTCGTCGGCTTCGCTGTTGAAGCGGAGCAATGGGGTGGTTTTGGGGGAGAAATAGACTAAGCCTGTGACCAATATCAGCAGCAGCAAAGAGGTGGCATTCTTCATGTAATGGAGGATTTGGTAAAAGCCATTCCATTTTGATTCGTCCCACACGTTTATGGTAAATCTCAAGGACAGTTTCTCCAGCTGCGTCTCTATCCACCTCAGGTTCATGTCTTCGATTACATTTAGTGCTAACTCGTAGCGAGCTATGTTCCTCTTGATCTGATGCAAGAAGAAAAATGGAATGATTAAACATATGGTGTGAATTATATTGAAGTTAGTTCTTCTAAAAAACATTTTTTTATGTTTATAATGAAAGTGTATGTAAGCTAATGCACTCACCAAACATAGTTTTTATGATAAATAAACAAAAATATTAATGCCATTGTACAAAAGGGCACGAGTTCCAATCCTAGATGTTTATTGAGTTCCCATGCATGTTTATTTACTTCATTTTAAAATCCCGTTTGGTGATATTCAAATGGCTGGTTGATTTTGCTGAAATTTATGAAATTTCGTCTGAAGTAGTTAGATTGGCTGATACTGTTGATTAATGGAAAAAATGATATTTAAAATCTATTCTATTAATAAAGTACTCCGCAATAAATAATTATATGAAAAATAGCCAAAATCTATCGTAACTTTAATCAATACAATCAGAAAAATAACTACAGCCTTACCTTACCTTATTATTACACAATTCAGTGCGCGAAATCAAAAGGTACGTTTTGATAAAAATTTTGACTAATAAACCTGTTTAGTTGAAAAGCAGGGTGACCAAACGGGATCTAAATTGCGATTAGAGCCACAATTTACGGGAATTAATGTTTCGCTTTCCATTCAAATAATTGATGCGGTCCCGGTGGGCCTATGTTACGGATTCTCCCGTGAGTCGGAGTCTCGTAGTCATTGTGGCCCGATACGGTTGCGGGCCTATGCGCAACCGCAATATTACCGAATAAATTATACTCCCTCCGTCCCTAAATGTTGTTCCAATTGCGGATTATGAAGGTTGAAAACTCGGATTATTTTTAGTAAATAAAATTTACATATTCAGAAACTACATTAAACCCGCTACAAAGCCTACAAAAAATAATTCAACTTTTATAAAATTTTGATATAAAAAGTAAGAGATTAAGAGTGATTTAAGTTGATCAATTGAATGGTGAAATGGAACTTCTTTTAGGGATAGAGTGAGTACTCCGTATTAATGATTGTGCATTAATGTACGTGAGAGTAAAATAATACCTGGAGCGAACCATCTCGGTCTAAAACAGGATTACGAAGCATGAAAGAAACTAAATGATGGCCACGAGTTTCGCCGTTCCCGAAATTCAAAACGGCCTTTTTGATCAAACGGCCGGCCTCCCACAGCCGGGAGCTCTCGTCCATGTACGCTTCCAGCCATTTGTCTCTCGCCGGCAACCGGAGTTTGGGCAGAAGAACCGTGAATTCGGCGTGAAACGACCGGAGAGAAGACACGACACGGCTCAGGAATTCGATAGACACCAAGTTGTGGTCGAACACGACAAACCTGTCATTAAGATCGTCGATACCCTTTCCCAGGAACTTGTAGAAATCTTCCACAAACTGAACCATTATAGTGATTGATGGTGGTTTATTTGTTATCTCTATGTTTAATCACTTGTGTTGAAATTGAATTGAATGTTTAAATTGGCGCAGAAACAGAGGGGAAGAGGAATAAAAAGTAAATAAACTAGGAAACAACTAAATTAAGTACCACCTTGTACCTTAAAGGTCAGCTGGTCTCGGTACGATGATACATTCGGACTCACGCTTGGGTGCATTCCTTTTTGGGAAAACTAGTCTTTCACCCGTGCGTTGCCCGGGTATGAAACTAATTAAAATATAAACATGGATTGTAAATGATTCATTAGTTAAAGTTGTATAAAAACTTACTCCCTCCGTCCCAAAATTATCTTTTCACTTTCTTTTTCGGGCAATTCCGAAATTAACTTGACACTTCAAATTTTTTTCTTATTTGGAAAAAAATCTACATAAAAAAAGTGTCAAACAGTGCCAAACAGTGTCAAACAGTGTTTAAACAGTACAAAACACAGTAAAGTCAAATTTATTTTCTTAATCTGTGTGAAGTCAAACTGAGAAGTTAATTTTGGGACGGAGGTAGTATTAGATACCTATGTGAAAAAAAAACTTATTAGATACTACGTATTTTATATGGTAGGCCAAAGGTTGGCATGGGATGGCTGATAGGGTATATGTTTATGTTTGGAAGTAATCATTTTTGTCTAAAATAGAGATGATAATGTAAATAGTTTTATTTTGAATCTTTTTTAAAAAAATTGCTAATCAATACAACTTGGTATTGATTCTTAGAAAGTCGGAAGTACCAATTTTGTCTTTACAATTAATCTTATAAAAGTACATCGTGTTAATTTATTTTAATACACATTGTGACTTTTAAATTAAGTATTAGAGAATGTATAAGGAGTATTTTGTTATAATGATGATCGAACACAAAAATGGGAAGCCATGAAAGTAAAATCGAGGTTTTTATTCCAAACAAAGGTAGTGTTAAGCATCAACCTAATTAGTTACTACTAACTATCTGAGTCATACATACAAAGTTATGCGGAGTACTACATACGTATCAAAAAGGACTACAGGGTTTAAACGTATGAAAGTAAGAAATTTTCATTTAATACCTTTATGACATATAAGAGTAACCATGTTGAACTATTTCATAATATCTCAATCAAAAGGGCATCCATAGCTTAAAGTGATATGTCAACACTTCTTTTCATGCATTTGTTTGAAAATGCTTAAAAATGACTCTGATAATTTTTTTTTAAAACCAAAAGATCAACTATCGGAGGAATATTTATCCAACTATGGCTATGAGACAAAGAAACGGCCATTCGCGCAAGCTCGTGAGCGTCACGATTCGTAGATCGCCAAACAAAGTTAATTGAAACACTTCTAAAGCCTCGCATCAAGACCTTAATATAGTCAACAATCAAACCCAAGACATATTTCCTCCCTTTTCAACTGTCATTACCACTTGTAACCATATGACTCTAAGTTGACATAATCCCAATTGTGCTTTTTAAGACACTTCAAAGTCTCTCGAATCCCGATGGCTTCAGCCTCCTTAACCGAACAGGTACCCGACCAAGAATTTGCCCTTGCTGCTACAAATCTGCCTGCAGCATCTCTCGCCACCCACCTGACGTGCACTTTGTCGTGAGGTGCACTCAAAGTAATAATATAATACGACACTAATACGTAGTATAGTGTAGTAAGGTTCGTATCCACAGGGAAAGGAATACTTTTCTTCTTACAGAAATAGATAAGTAACAATAAGGGGGGGTTTATATTTGGTTGATGAACTTTAAATTATATTTAAATACGAAGATGAACGAGTTATGTGGTTTAATTAATGAGAAGAAGACTTGGCTTTGCTTTTATCCACTTAATGAAATGTTCGTCGATCCCGGTTATATCTTTAACTATCTTCCTCTCGAATACTCAATCGAGGAGTATATCCAATTCATCGAGGGTAGTTATTAATAACGAGACGCGTTCATTAATAAAACTTACTACCGAGTTAATATAGAACACGCGCCATATATTTACTCGATAGTAGCAATAAAATTAAGATGAAAACGATTGAGATTGATAACCTCAACACAAGCGGTTTATCGGTTTAATCAATATAATTAATTCCCCTTGGCTTATTAACCATGAGACGCATGCATTAACAACCCAAGTTTACTACCGTGAAAGGACCGAGTTAATAACAAGCGTATTAATCGACCGCTTCTAGTATTAATATATGAAACAATACTAGTTGATCCTTTAAGTATTGCTCAAAATATTAATATGTAATAGGAATAGGAATTAATTAATATTCAAGGAAGAAGATTAAAGAAAATAACTCACAACTTACAATTCATTAAGCTTCAAAGTAGCAAAACCAAGATGGAAGAGTTTAGCTCCTCATTTGGAGACTAAACATGATGAAAAATATAAAGAAAAAACTTGTCTAAACTGAGCTAAGAAGTATATGTGAATTGATGATTTTATTGTGAAGGAAAGGAGTGTATTTATAGGCTTTTGGGAGCTGCAGGGTCTGATACCCGACCGGGTATATAGGATACCCGACCGGGTATCTCAGGAAATTGCCCAGAAAGTGATTTTTCTGGGCATACCCGATCGGGTAAGGGTATATACCCGATCGGGTATGTGACAAATCTTTATGAAAATTTGCTCCCACGATCATTTGTCTTCGGATTTGATTTGGACAGTCGAATCAAGCAATTACCCGATCGGGTATAGGCAATACCCGACCGGGTACATGAGTATTTTTTCCAAATCGAAATCTTTCTTGTCTCCTTGCACTTTCCTTGATCTTTTAAGGTCCAATCTTGATCCCTTAGATGATCTTTGACCTGTTTAGCTCAGAAAAATCCTAATCTAACTAAATTACAAATAAAAAATGAAAATAAAGTATTACACCAAAAGTGTGTAATTTTCACAACTAGAACTAATAAAAACTAGTTAAAAATACAAATATATAATTGGAAATTACATGAATATCACCACCCAAACCCCTATGCCCCCCAACTCCCAAAGCTACATCGTCGTTGACTTTAAGACAGCCTGCTTTGGTTTTCTTCCAGTCCTCTACACCACCACACCTCGACTCCTTGGGAACTTCAATGTGCCCGTCATTTGCATCCCGCTAGCCTTGTAGGACAGCCCTCTCCAAAGTCACGATGAAATCCTCACCTCCTTCCTCCCTGTTCCAGACAGCCCTATTGCGAAAGTACCAAATGCTCCAGCACAAGTGCACAACATTATCATTTCATAGCAATGCCCCCAGGTCCTAGTCGCGATGAAAAGTTCGAACCATCCATAAATGACGTTCCTTGTCCAGCCGCAGTTACCCAGCCCTTTACTCTCCAAACTTCCAAACTTCAGTTGCTCTCCTGCAATTAAAAAAAGTGCGGGAAAAAGACTGAAAATGCTCACGACATAGCACACCTTAGCTCCACCTCCACCCTACTTTCTCTCAATCTATTAGTAGGCAAATTCCCCGTGCACAATTGCCAAAATAACATCTTACCATGGGAGGGATAGCTAAGTTCCTTAGTAAAACTGCAGAAACTTGAATTTTTAAGTTATGAAATATTAAAGCTGCAACTTCTTTCTGAGCAACTTATATGTATGGAATGATGCAATGAAAAATTAGAGGTAATACTGTAGAAGAGTCCCAAATTAAACCCAAACTCTTACTTGATTTAATACAAATACTTATTAGAAAGACAATTACATTAGATTATAAGTTAATAAGATAATTATATATAATAATTACATTTGTATCCATTTATCAATACTTTAGGCCAACCAACTTGGCTCATCAATTTATCTGCAATATAAGGACCATAAATTGATTATTGATTAATGTCAAACGCTGCACTTTGAAGTGAGGCATTAAAAGAGATGTTTTACAAATCAATTTCCTTGTGCGCTTTTTTATTCTACATGTTAGTGGGATCCAATATGATGGGGTCCAATAAAGGACTTCACAACAATAATATATTTGTGAGAACTCCAAATATTTGTGTGATGCAGCGATTGTAGCCCACTTTCATTTGAAAGTTTCATAACAATTAGTTTTTAATACATAAGAGAGACACATAGACAATAGTCAAGCCTTGAAGGCCAGTATAGCATTCCAGGCAGCTTTACCATCTTGGTCATTAACATGACCGAGACGACTGATTCGACAAAGATTACCAAAGGAAATATTATGTTGAGAAATTATTTGCTCTTTTTCTTCTTCTACTCCAGGGAGCTCACTTAAAATTGTTGATTTTGTTAAGTTGTAGACAAAATGTTTTCTTAACTGTTCAGTGGGCTATTTTTTTTTTAATCTTATCTATTTTAACATAAAAACAAAATCCATCTTAAACAAAAAATCTACCTTAAACAAAAAAATGTGTAACCACTAACCAAGATAGAATGTTAAAACACTTCAGTTTTCTTACCCAATATTGTGCTTATCTACACCCAAATATCGGTTTCTATATATACCAATGTGTGACCCCTGATAGAGAATTGACATACATATTAGATGTACTTATAACAGCCTAAGCCCTAAATCCTAAAATTTTGGGGCTTTAACAGATCATTTGGGAGAACCAGAATTGATGAGCAGAAGGAAATCCAGATGCATCCGAAATATTGAACAATGTCTGAGAGTTTAGCGGAATAGGCGATGGCCGCGATGCTGCTTTGTAGACTGGAGCAGAGTTGGTCGGAGAGTTTTGCAATTTTTTAACTTGGAAAAACTTGATAGACTAACCGAGTTTTTTCCCAAAATAATGTTGAATAAAAAAATATTTCCCACAATAAGGTAAGGTTAAAAGTATTTTCCAAAATACAAAAACTAGTATCGCAAGGCGCAAGAGCAAGCACGCACGCAGCAAGACAAATAGGGCCCACCAATAAATGAAATCATATTTTTATTTAAAAGTGATATAACTTTTTCATTTGTACTCTGATTCTTACAAAAAATATATCAAAATTCATAACTTTTTATTATCTTTCATATGACACCAATATTCAATATATAAAAATCAAAAAATAATTTAACACTTTAATATTTTTTTGTAAATGTTATATCTTTTTTGAATTTTACTCCGATTGTTACAAAAAGTATAT